GTACGAATGACAAAGATATTCAATAACAGGACATATCATGAAAGTGGATAACAGTGGCAAATAATGAAGAATACAGAACAGGAGACCAGTACCCAAGACTTGCTCTGGAATGGAAGAATTGATTGATTGTCATATCAATGGGGAATTGATAGTCAAGAAATGGTGGATAGAGTGTCATTGAAAAATGATTGTGAATAGAGCAAGTGCTTTTCGACTACTGGAAGCTGTTGATTGCATCATTATGAGAACACTATTAACCAGGATTCATGATAGTAGTTACTGAAGTATCGACGTCAAAGACCACAGTGATAGATGAGATAGATAATTAACAACAACAAGTAANAGTGAATGATTGTGAATAGAGCAAGTGCTTTTCGACTACTGGAAGCTGTTGATTGCATCATTATGAGAACACTATTAACCAGGATTCATGATAGTAGTTAGTGAAGTATCGAGGTCAACATGATTGGACATGAATAAACATGAGAAATCATGGCACAACAGTGGTGAATGTCTACGAACGAAAATGATCAAATGCCAACAAAGATCGAATGATGATTCCATGTAATGTGCAAAGTCAATGGAAGGAATGAAAGGTTGTTCGAGTGACTGACATAATAGGAGAAAGATTCACACTTAAGGAACTACAATCGATCCAGAACAAGCACTGGAACAACAGCAGACATTCAATCAAAGANATTGCATCATTATGAGAACACTATTAACCAGGATTCATGATAGTAGTTACTGAAGTATCGACGTCAACATGATTGGACATGAATAAACATGAGAAATCATGGCACAACAGTGGTGAATGTCTACGAACGAAAATGATCAAATGCCAACAAAGATCTAGAGGAAGAATCTATGTAATGTGCAAAGTCAATGGAAGGAATGAAAGGTTGTTCGAGTGACTGACATAATAGGAGAAAGATTCACACTTAAGGAACTACAATCGATCCAGAACAAGCACTGGAACAACAGCAGACATTCAATCAAAGACGGGCCATAGATTCAGCAAAGATCTGCCAATGGCTAAATGATGAAATAAGATCATAATCGGAGAGGAGAGTTAGAAAATAACTCAAAGTGAGTCTCGAGACAAAAACCACAGTGATAGATGAGATAGATAATTAACAACAACAAGTAAGCACAAACAAACACAATCCAAAAACACAAACAGTGTAAGGGATTCTTGGATTATCTTGTCATTGGGCCCAACCGAGCTAAACGAAAGACAATCAAAGAATGATTGTGAATGGTGGTGATTGATTTGGAAGATTGTGTGTGTGTGTGATTGGAAGAGGTATTGGAGATGGATGGATTGATGGATGGATGGATGGTAGAGTGTGGTAGAGTGTGGTAGAGTGTGGTAGAGGAATGAAAGAAAGAAAGAAAAGACTGTTGATATAATGTATGTATGTTGGTGATGATTGAAAAGTGAAAGAATAGCAAATGGAATATTTGTGGTTTGATGATTGGAATGGCAATGGTTATGGTAGCATTTGTTAGAGTAGCGTTTGTTAGAGTAGCAAAAGGAATGTCAACAAATGGGATAACTAATGGAATGTCAACAAATGGAATGACAACAAATGGAATGACAATTGGAATGGCAATTGGAATGGCAATTGGAACATTTGTTGATAATGGTTAGGGAAGCCATTTGTGGTTTGTAAATATTTGTGGTTATTTGTGGACACTGGTTAGGGAAGCCATTTGTGGTTTGTAAATATTTGGAACAATTGTTGATAATGGTTAGGTTAGTTTTGGGTTACCATTTGGGACATTTGTGGTAACCAATTGGAACATTTGTGTTAGGGAAGCCATTTGTGGTTTGTTACTATAGATGTGTATATGTTTGTGTATGCGTATGAGTGAATGCATTTGTGTATGCGCATGACTGAGAATGAATAAAATTGAAAAAATGAGGTTTTGGAT